GCGGCTCAGCCCCCGACGTCTCCGCTCCCTGGCCGGGGCCGCCCGCCGCGGGCGCTTCTTGCAGCCGGGACCGCCCCATCCCCGCGGCCCCGACCGGCGGCTGCAACGGGCGGGAGGCGCCCCCGGGCCGCGCTGCCGGGGGTCGGCGGCTGAAAGCGGTCGCGCCTCCTGCGCTGGGAGAAAGCAGCAGCCCCCGGCACTGCCCGCGCAGCCTCCCGCCCCTTCGGGGGCCGCCCGGGGAGGCGTCCGGCCCCAGGACGGGACGAGTCCGGAAAGCCGTGCCACCCGGCACGGCAAAACACCTCCCGCCCCCAGGCCTTCTCCCGCCGCCGCGGGCGGGGGCCGCCTCCTACCTGCATCTCCCGGGCGCCGCGTCCCCGGCCGGCGGCGGCAGGTGAGCGGGCTCCCGCGGCGGGCACGGGGCTCCGCGCCCCTCTCCGCGGCGTCGCGGCGGCCGGAGACCGCGAGGGGACGCACCTGCCCCTGGGGCCGCGGCCCCGTCGCCGTGCCGGGCCGAGCCCCTCTCCGGCAGCGAGAGGGGAACAGGGGGAGGCTGCCCGCGCTGCCCTGCCCGTCGCCGCGGCTGCGCTGCGCTGCGCTGCGGGAAGGGCGGCACCGAGGTGACTCCCGGCCGAAGTTGGCGGCGGCGGCGAGTGCCGGGCCCGGGAGGTGCCGGCGGATCCCGGGGGCTCCGGCCGCCTCCGCCACGCCTCCCCCCGCCCCGCTCCCGCCCCCCGCGCCCTGCGCCCGCCCCGCGGCGGGCACCTCCGCTGCCGCCGGGATGGGGCTCACTGGAGGGGACACGGCGGCCTCCCCCACCGGGTCAGCCCCGGGGATGGGGCGGGCAAGGGCTGGCCCGGGGAGAGGTGCGGGCCCTCTGCCGTCGGGGGCACCAGTCCCGGCTGGTCGGGAGGGCGAGAGGGGGGAAAAGCAGCTGCTCCATGAGGTAGAGGGGAGTGGGCTGGCTCCCTGCCTCCGGTCCCGGCAGCCGCCCGGTGCCTGCCTTCCCCCTGTCTTCGCCGTGCACGGCGCCCGCAGGGACCCTCAGTCACTCGTGGGTCGCTCCAGCACTCCGTGGTGCTCTCGCCCTGGTTGCTGGGCCCTTCCGTCTGTAAGTGCCCACCGCGCCGGGCAGCCTCCAGCACTTTGGCGTAAGCTTCTCGCTGTGTGTGCTCACGGGCACCCTGCTCATGTGGGACCCGGCCTGCGGGGCAGCGTGCTGGAAGCCAAAGTCCCTCCGGCATGGGCTCCCAGAGCAGGGGTTTCGACCTGGTGACCCCCTGCTTCATCCAGGGAATTTTGGCGTCTGTCTCCCAGGGCAGGCAGTGGGGGGGGTGCAGGGAAGGTGCGAATGAGGCAAAGCCTGGTTCTGGGATGCTGTTAAAAAAGGCTGGCAAAGCTTGGCAGCGAAGGCAGCACACAGCTTGTGCGAAGCTCTTGATGGGGCTGGCTCGCAACAGGCACATCCATCCCTTGCCTACAACACCAGGAATCACACCGGGGGCTCTCCCCCACCTCTCTTCCCATAAAACTTCACAGATTCACGGCCAGATCCTGTTCTCACTTTTCCTGGCAGAAGCAGGGAGTAGCTGCACAGGCATTAGCAGGATCACTGCAAATTTATGGTGCTGTAACTGAGAGCAGTGCCTAGCCCTTGGGATCGTTGGGCATCTCGGCGCACGAGGAGGCGGGATTTACATGCCTGGCCTTCGAGCCCGGTGGCAGCTCTGCAGTAGCCAGCGAAGCCAGAATTTACACTTGTTGTGTCGGGATCCCCATCTCCGGGCCTCACAGCATCAGGCATCCAAAAATCTCCATGTGGCGGGAGTGCAGAGCCTCACACACAGTGCAGTGAGTGCCTTGCTGCTCCTACACATGAACAGCCTCAGGCATATGAAGATTTAAAGGGACTTACATCAGGGAGGCGTTTGTCCCCCTGGAATTACTCAAATTTGTACCAGGTTGGGACTTAGTGCAGCTACAGGCATGCACCCCATGTCCTGGATTCAGCTTGAACCATGACACCCCTGCATGAACAGCTCGTTTCAAACAGCCCTGAGCATCTGCTCAGGTTCAGAGTGGAAATGCTCGTGTGAGCATTTTTAGAGGTGCAGGTAAATGTTTGAATACAGGCTACATGGTACAAATAATTGAAGGCTCTGGGAGTCTTAATTTATGACCAACTGTTCCAGTGTTTCCCATCAGTGTAGTCATTAATGATGCTTTCTTTTAATGGGAATAGGGGATAGAGGAGGTACAGCTGGAGGTAAATAGTAACCCAGTGTTTGTGGTAGGAAATAAGGAGCCATTGTCCTCAGCACTATGTAACTAGAAAGATAATAGTTGGTACAGCAAATACCAGCTAATTAGAGGGCAAAGGCAGTCTTGAAATTGCAGCTGGCTGCAGGAAATTTTAGGTGCCAGCTTTTTCTCTCTGAGGTAAAGCCGGTTTACCATATGGGCTGTTGTTCCCTGCTTGTCTGGCAGACTTCTAACTTGCACATTAAGGCACATTGCGCAGGGCCAGGGTGGTCCTTTGGGGACCTAGCAAACAGCAGGGTCCCCTCCTGGAGACCTGGAGGTGTGAAGGGCAGCATCCCAGGGCTGAGGCTCGGTAACAAATTGCTTGGCCTGTTGAGTAACATACTTACCCACTTCTGGTGCTACAAGGGACAGCTGGCCATAGCAGGTCAGCAGGCCAGGGGTCCTCACAGGAGTCCTGCTGGGGCTGACATGACTTCACCCCAAGAGGTAGTGCCTTACATCAGGGTTAGAGGTGGCAGAAGGGGAGGGCAGAGCCAGTGTAGAGCAACAGCAGAGATGGATGGGCAGGAGTGGACACACATGCTCCTTAAAACCTCCAGCTATGAAATATATGGGTTATTCAGAAAAGTTACCAGCTTATTGAAAGACCACACTACCTTAGCATAGTCCATGGAGAAGGTGAGACTTCCTGCAGCTTTAATGATTTCTGGCTGTTTCCGTTCCTGCTTTGGTGGGACAAGAAGAGCTGTCAAGGGGCACGTTAGGTGTGTGTCAGTCCTGTGGTGGTGCTGGAAGGGCAGGAAGAGCAGGACAGACAGCTGGGGGTGCACATCTCAAAGGCTGGGTGGGAGCGGGCCCCTGGCTGGCCGCTTGAAGAGCTGGAGAAGAGGCAAGAGGTCCTCAGCCAGCAGTAATGAGGTGCATGGCCCATCTGGGAGGGTGCAGGTCACACAAGGGGGAAGACTTGGCACCCTTGCCAGCACTGAGGTCAAAAAACACAGAATGAGTTGATCATGGTGCTTGCATGGGTGGGTGAGGACAGGAGACCACTTACTGCTCTACCTCACTTTGTCCTCTTTGCTGAAATGTCTTTATTGCTTTTCTAGTGGAAGGAAAAAAGTTGGCTGCCTTCTTTTCTCCTTGTTTCCCCTGCAAGTTTGCTTTATCCTCCACCAAAACAGTTCCCCACGAATATCATATCATAATTTTTGTCCACTGAAGCTATTCCTTCATCTACAGAAGATGATGGATGAGGAAAGGGCACTTGTACCATGACAGCGGTGATCCTCACTAGGTATGGGGGGTATCAGCTGCCAGTAGGAGGGGCTCCTGTCTAGTCTCAGCTGCTGAAGATGTCATCCAGATGTTCTTTAGAAGATACTCCAGTATAATTAAGCCTTACTGATCTAATAGTAAGCAGTGTCCACAGTTAGAACTGGGCAGGATGTGGACTTTACTCCATGACCAGAGGCTTGGATGTGACTAATATTAGTGGGAAACACAGTCACAGCACACCACGGAAGATGCTGTATCTGATGAGTTGTAAAAAGTAGCTTAAGCCCATGCAGCCACCTGGATGCCACATGCTGTTTTACTTCTCTTCATCTCACTGAAACATTCCTATGGCTACAGTGGCCCTTACACTCCTCTTTGTCTTCTACTACAGTGATGGAAGCTGTATCTCTCATCTGGACAGTCTCTGCTGCTGGTGAGCAGGAAAAAGGTGGGGAAGAGCTCAGATTGCCTGATATATGGAAATACTCAGCTCACGTGGAGGATGAGCAGAGTGATTTAAAAGGTACAGTGAACATACGTCCCTCTTAGTTAATGGCATGACCCTGCAGAATGTATTCAGAACCTTACCACTGGAAAGTCATTCATGTGGCTCCAACTTTTCTTAACATAGATATAGGCCCAGTCTAGCATTTCTGTGGTTCTCATAAACTCTGATCTCTTGAGAAGTTTCTGCCCTCCCTGTTGCACCTGCACGATAAACTTCCCCCTAGTGAGATGGTCCTGTGTCTTCCCTGCATGCAGGGCAGAGCCAAGGCTGAGATGGTGCCTGTTCTGCCACATATTCCAAGGAATACTTTCCATGCTTCTTTCACTGATATGGACCTTTTTTTTGTCCTTTCATTACCACTCACCCCACACTCCTGTGGTAGGATTAGTCGCAGTAGTAGGAGCAAGTCAAAGGGAGTGAATCTGTTGTGAGGAACTGGACACGTTTCCAGCAGTGAGATTTTTATGAGTCAAGGTGGAATTCACGGAATAAAAAGCTGGAAATGGAAAACAAACCCCATCTTGGGCTCCTGCCAAAGGAGAGCTCGTTCCAGACATGTTACCTGATCTGACCTGCCTTGCAGGTGTGAAAACCTTCATTGACCCATCCCCATGTTCTCTACCTGCCCCTGCAAACACTGAAGGAAACCACCACCTTCTTCCCAGCCGCTGCCCTCGTGGGAAGCAGCCAGTTTCCTTGAGGCATAAAGCTCATGACCTGGGAATTTGTGGCACTCCGCAAAAGGAAATATAGGCTAAACTTCTGAAACATTTCCTAATGTTGACGTCTTTCAAGCGGTGGAATCGTCTCCCCAGGGACACGTGGGTGCTCTGCTCCTTGAGTCAGGGAGACAGGACTGGACAACGCGCAGGGAGACGTATTGTTGGGAACCTTACTGCCCCCCTCCCCAGGAGAGACAAGGAGGGGGGAGAGAGGAAATAAATTAGATGACTTGAATCATTTCCAGCTCTAATTGCTATGATCTTGCAGTAGTTTTCCCAGCCCCGAGTATAACATTAACCATCGAAGCACGATTTCGCCCACGGTCAATTAAACCAGGATTCATCACGCCTGACATCACCAAGTAAAATCCATCCTGGACCCAGGGACACCGTGCTGAGAAGAGACAGGAGCCAGACAGGGGGTCCATGGAATGGGCAGAAACTGTTGCCTTTGGAGATGGACATCTGCAAACATGCTTTTCCCCTCTGTCGGCATGGGGCACAAAGGGCAATGCAGCAACTCTATGTTGTGCATTTGCCTTTCCTCACCTCAATGATGCATTGGAAGGGTTCCTGTGAGTGATGCCCCCCATCTGGATGGTGCTACTGGCTGGGGGGGGTGCTGCTCCAGAGGTCAAATGGAGCTACATGGCAGGCTACCACTTCACATTCAATGGTTACACGTTATCCTCTGTCCAGTTTGCCCCTACCCTCGTGGTCCTCCAAAGTGCAGCCCTGGGAAGCCTGTCAGGTGCCCACAGGGGATATCTGGATCTTGAGCTCCTCAGGGTGGAGGGTGGATCAGGGTACAGCTCTCCTGCTGTGATCCATGGCTGCAGACCTCCTCCTCTCTCCTCTTTCCTCTTCCTCTGAAGTCCCCAACAAAGGAGTGAACTGAGCCATTCACTAGGTTTTGAATACCAAGAAGGCAAATAATGAGAAACCTTTGTGAAGACACAAGGATTTGAAGGATGTAGCAGCAACGAGACAGACCTGGCGGCTGCGATGGGGTGAAGTCCTGACTTGCCTGGCTCCATGTAACTCGGTAGCAAGGCTGAGGAGAGCAGGCAGAGTTCATGCCTCCTCCTTTAATCATTAGGCGCTCCCGACAGCAGGCTCTGTGGGCTGAGCGAGTTAAACTGTAACTGCCTTCCTCTGTGGCCCCCAGTGAGGAGCCCTGTTTGCGTGACCAGGGCAAGACCAGCCTCCCACCCGAGTCCCACCAGCTCTCACTGCTGGCTCAGGCAGGGATGCAGGGTTGGCCCTGACCACGGGCTGATGTGGGAGTACCTGCCCTGCATCCCCATGGTGGCCATGGGGGTGGACCAGGACCCTGTTAGGATGTGCCCCATGTTGTTGGGGGGAGATTCCCCATCGCTTCCTCCCTCCGTCCCTCCCTCCCATAAGCAGATAAGATCACCTGTCCCCATGGCACTGCTGGGTGCGGGGGGCCAGGAGATGCCCCTGGGGCCAGCCCGGGGCACCAAGCCCTGTGCCCTGGTACTGATAAAGACCAGGGCTCCCTTCAGGGAGGTGCAGGGCCACAGCCATAGCCAGACAGTGAGGTAATCTGTCCCCCAACGCCCCTCCTCTCAGACCAAGTCTCCTGGTCTCTTCTACTTGGCTTAAACCCCAAGGCGAAGAGTTGTACATCCTTTCCAGAATTTTTATCGGCATGAATTATGACAATTCTGGATATTCTTATTGTCTGCTCAAATGGCCGATCCCCTTCTAAAGTCTTACTTAATTCTTGGCTCCTGCTGCTTCCTGTGGTAATGAGCTCCACAGTGTAATTAAACATGGTCTGTGATAGCAACCATGCAATGGGCTTCACCAGCAGCAGCAGCACGTGGGTGTGCATGTGTTTGTCTCTGCACACATGTGTGTGCAGGCAGGGGTGCACGGGGAGTGACACTGCTTGCAGGCAAGGCAAGCATCTCCTTTCGAGGACAGAATCAATCCCAGGGTGCAGCCAGGCTGGGGCACAGGAGCACTGAGGCCACTGTGCTGGGGCTGCTCACCCTGGATGCTGTGACCCAATGCCTGACTGTCAGAGAGCCACAAACCCCAAATTCCTGCCCTGCACAGTCAGAAGGGAGTGATTGCTCTGCCAGCCTCTGGCTTAGGGGAATGCTGCTGAAGCCCCAATCTTGCCACAAATGTGGCAAGATGTCCCCAAACAGATGAGGATCCACGGGTGGTTCTGGGGAAAGTGCCTGCAAGGCTCTAGTTGTGATCTGTCAGGGACAAGACCCAACATCCTCCTCTCCTGTGGTCCTCAGCTGCTCAGGGGCCGCAGGTGGGATGGGAGGGAATGCGTGCTGCAGCAGAGCCCCTTCCCCGGGATGGCACGAGGGGAATCCCAGTTGGTGCTAAGGGTTTACCTTATTCCACGACATGTTCCATAATTTCTCCATGTAATCCCTTTCTTTCTTTTTGACTTTTTCTTTTCTCCTTCCTCTTCCTTCCTCTTTGTCCTCCCCCTTTCTGGTCATCTCCCTTTGTAATTACTTTCTTCACTTGCTCAAACGTTCTTCTGTAATTTCGTTCTTCGGAAGCAAGACAGGCCTCTGGCTGTACCTGTCACTGATGAGGTGAAAGGGGATTGTTCTCCTGATAATCACTGGGATTAATACCACAAAACAACTTCACCTGAAGGAGGAAACAAACCCAGTTCCTGCGTTACATCCAGCTCTCCCACAGACTGTGCAGACAGGTGGCGAGAGGCAGAGGGTATACTGACAGGGTTGAGCCCCCTCTCCCCTGCCTGGCACCACTGTAGGTGGGCGTGGGGGCAGAATCCCCCAAATCCATGGTGAGAGCCACTCCCTGGGCTTGCCTGGTGCCTCTCTCTGTCACTCCTGGCTGCAGGGCCAGCCCCATGCCGCACACAGGTGACACAGATGGCTTCTGGGGCGGGGGGCACACGCTCCGCAGGCTGGCAGGCGGCAAGGGAAGGGAATGAAATGTGCTGAGACACCAAGCCAGGAGGGTGTGACCAGTGCCTCCCTGCCAGCAGTGCCTCCTTGCCACCGGTGCTGCCCTGCCACCAGTGCTGCCAGTAAATGGACTCCCAGTCCATCGGGTAGTGAGGACAGTGGGCAGAGGCTGGATGGGGCTGGGAACATCACCGAGCAGAGAGTGGGACAGAGCCGCCAGGACTGCAGGGCTGCAAAGGAAGGCTTAGAGTGCAGAGAGGGATAATATATACAATATAATGTATGTCTGACAGGCATGTGATTGCTGGTGCTGCTGCCCGGAGGCAGACACTGCCCAGGGATGGATTCTCACACAGCCTGGGGAAGGTCGCTATTTACAGCTAGTGAAACCACAGCGCATTTCCTGCCTTTATTTGTGGGTGCCACAAAGCCCAGGGACAAACTGGAGTCAGTGAGGCTTAGGATGGGCTCTGCAGCTCCTGGCTGTGCCACTCAAGTCCTTCTGCAAACCAATCCAGTAAGACAATAAAGCCTCTGCATGAAAACCACCATGTTTCATAGGCTCCCAAGTGTCCTTTGATGACAAGTGCCTTTGCTTAATAGTCTCACCTTCACAGTGCAAGCTGAAGAGAACATAAATACAATCCTTAGACACTGTGGCTTCTAAACATACATATATAGCACGGGTAATATATGGGCTTACACAAAGAGCAGCATTGAAGCTCAGTATAGGCAGGGAAGGAAACTATAATAACTGAAGCACCAGTGCAGTCACAAGATATGAAGAGGGATGAAACCACATGGCAATAGACGTTTTCTTCTAAGGCACTTGGATGTTGTGTTTCATATGGTCTCAGTGCTCGGCCACCAGACAAAGGGATGCACATGGATATTGATGCTCCCACAGCACAAGCAGCCCTTGGGACATTTCAAGGGCTTGTTCACAAAAAAGAGTGTGTGTCTGTATGTATTTACACATGCGAGAAACTGAAGATGTATAAACCAGTGAATTCTAGTTCAGATTGCTGTCATGTGCTCTCACAAAGGTAAACTTAAAAGACAGAGTTCCCCCATATAATTTAAGTGTAGTTGTGTATGTGTTCTGTATTTTCTGTGGTTGACATCCTTAAGTCACGACTCTGAATTTTCAGCTTGAGACACTGATTTTCCACGATACACAGAGCACCTATCTGCTAACACCACTTGTGTCAGCTGAAGTTAAGCCAAATCCCTAAATGCTTCAGCACATCCTGGGTCTGTAATTATACACACCTGCAAAAAAAACCAAAGCAAAACTCCCCCCAAAACCCAAACAAAAACCCCAACTCCACAAAAACTGCAGACACCAGGATTCATGTCCCAAACCATACTTGTTCACATGCATAAGATCTTAGTTTTCACATGAAGGTGCTGTTTTTGGAGGATTTGGTTCCTGTTTGCAAGCCTTTCATGTTCACTGAAGTTACATTTTTCTTCATTTCCCTTCAGCAATGGGAGCTGGAATTCTTTTATTTATTTATTTATTTAGATAAATGCACATGGGGACCCTCTTTCCATCACAGGGTTTCAGGGCTGCGTTTAAAGAACCAAACATTATGGAAGATTGTAATGTCATGTTCAACACCCACCAAGATATGGCTTGTATGGAATCCCTTTTATAGTAGCATGAATAATGTGCACAGAGATCTATGGAGAACGAACCAGCTTTTATGTGGTTCAGAGGGATCTGCCTCTCTTGATCCTTAGCGAGTTTATAAAATTGGGCTTTAGTGGTGACCATATTGTCAGTGAATTATGGGAACCTTCCCAAGCACGACAGCTAAACCTTTAGGCATCAGTACTCCTTTTAGAGGCCTGAACTGCAGCTGGTATGTGCTGACAGAGCTCTGCTGAAGGCAAGGGGGGAGCTGGCCTTCAACATTGTCTTTGGTTGATTTACTCGCTATCTTGTCTTACATTTCCTTGGCTCTTCCTCGTTGAGAAGACGTTAGTAGTTCATGGTGCCAGCACTACAGTGAGGATGCTCTTTGAGACACCCAGATGGCATGTATCTGGTCAGGTTTGGCTCTGAGCTGGGGATGAAGTGATTGCTATGCCACTGCCTCCTCACACATCCACACAGAGGTTCCCAAATGATCCACGACACCCTCGCTGCACAGCGCCAGGCTGAAACACACCCCACAGAGACACAACCCAAAGGCCTGTGTCGCGTCTGAACTTGCCGAGATATCATCTTAAGATTGCACATATAATGATGAACATAAGCGATACCATTGTGCTGAATAAGGTCTCTTAGCAGAAAAACAAAAACAGGGAAAGTTGGCGTCATTGTCTCTAACTCCTGCCACTACTCAGCTTTAACCAAACGCAGAGGAAAGCTCTGGGTCAGCGTTAGGCTGGGTGACTTTGCTGTATGGATTTAAGACTGGTTTCCCAATGAAATCATGCTCCAGTCTGTCACTTCACACAAAGGAAGCCTCTGGGTCATCCGTGGTGATATTTGTCTGCAGCTCTATAGATACCTTTGATCTATTCTTCTGACAGATGAGCATAAATAATTGTGTTACCACTCGTGTTTAAAAGAGTCATCACTTCATTTACAAAGGAATCAAATTAAAGCCTCCAACCGTAAGGTGAGGAGCAGCCTTTCACTGTCACCTTGGAGTCACTGTGCCTAATTTGGGCTACTGGGAGGAGATTGAAAGGACAGATGTTGCATTAAGGTGCACTACGCCTCCAGCATCCACTGTTTGGGAAAGTGCTTGCTCCTGCAGCTTGGTTCTTGCAGTGAAGCCCGCAGTTGCTACCACTTCCCAGCACACTGGGCTTATAGGCTGTGTGAGTGGCCAAACCCCTCCTTAGGTCCATGACTGACCATGGGTTACAGAGAGTAGGTGTTTGAAGACATTAATCCAACCCTGCCACCCCAGGGATGGGTGGAGACACAGACTTCTGATGGAAGCAATGAACTTGCATTATATTTTGCTGATAAATCCCATAATTTCCTTGGGGTTCCTCCAGATGTTGTACCTCTCCTGTCCTGGGTCTAGCACAGGATCTGTTCTGGATTCAAGGTGTCCTGTTGCTCTCAAGCTAACAGGAGAGCATCCTTCTGAGGGCACTGGTGGGAAGCACAATTCATGATGTGCAATGCCATTGCAGTGATGGAGGATTTTAAATGGTGGCCTAAAAGCACACGGGGGAAAGAGTTTCTTTTATCTGTGTTCCTAGAACAGTGTTTCACACATGGGGTAGGTAAAAGAAGGAACTTTACAGTATTGTATTAGAAGTGGAAACAAATTAGAAGTGGTCACAAAGGAGTTTGCAGAAGGCAGTGGATTGAGCAACTTGGTTCCTACTGTCTCCATCTGAAGGACCAGCAGCACGATGTGCTCTGGGGCTGTGGTTCCTCCATCT